GTAGATAGATCCACTGTATATAGATCCACTGTATATAGATTCTCACTCTGAGCCTGTGGGTTTTACCGACTTGTTTCCTCTTGAGAGAAATCTGCTGCTTTTCTTTCTGGCTCAGTTCAGATGTTTTCTCTGTTTCTACCTGACAACATGTTTCTGCCGTAACAACCAGACGATCGTTTGCAGGACTGTTGATGATTCCGGTCGTTTTATGAAAAACCTTCTCGGAAAAGTGATGGACGGATGAATTACCTGGAGGCGTTGCCATGGTGACCCAGAGGGTGACCTGTCTGTGTCTGAACACGCCTGACGAGGGCTCAGCAGCTGCAGGTGAATCTGAGAGAGAGACAGACAGTTTCACTTCTATTCCCCAAGAGACCAGAGGAGAGGATGAAACTGGTGAAGAGTTCTTTCTGTCTTCACTCGTGCTGCTGAAGGTTTAGACGAGTTTGTGTAACTAAAGTTTTTTGTCCAGGGGCAGATTTTAGTGACGTCAGCAGATTCTTATTTCTTGGTAAATCCTGCTGGAAGAAAACAATGTGTGAGAGAGCATGTACACAAAGTGTGTGTGTGTGTGTGTGTGTGTGTGTGTGTGTGTGCGCTCACACTGAGGACCTCTCCATGTTTTTATTAGTGTAGAGTTAATTTATTTCATTTACTCTCTCACCTCAGTTCACTCAGATCAGGAACACGTTTGTCTCTCTCAGTCTGCAGCAGCGTTTCTTATCACATGTTCCTGTTCTGTCCGTCACAGAAGCGTTTTGCATTCACTTGAACAATAAATAAAACTTTTTCTGAGTAATTGAGTTTTTGGTTTGTTTTTTTGAATAATTCTTCACCCTTTTCTGACAAATCTTTTTCAAACTCGTTTTTTCTGTTTTTCTGACAAATTTGTTTTTTCTATTTTTTAGACAAATTTTTTTTTCTGATTTTCTGACTAATTAGTTTTTTCTGTTTTTCGAACTCATTTTTTTTTCTGTTTTTCAGACAAATTTTTTTTTCTGATTTCCAGACAATTTTTTTTTTCAGTTTTTCTGACAAATTTGTTTTTTCCGTTTTTTGGACAAATAATTTTTTTTCAGTTTTTCGGACAAATTAGTTTTTTCTGTTTTTCAGACTCATTTTTTCTGAGTTTAGAGAGCATTTAAACAATAGACTCATTTTTTTTCTCTTGTTTTTCAGACAAATTTTTTTCAGTTTTTCTGACAAATTTTTTTTTCAGTTTATCTGACAAATTTTTTTTTCGTTTTTTCGAACTCATTTTTTCTGAGTTTAGAGAGCATTTAAACAATAGACTCTTTTTTTTCTGTTTTTCTGACTAATTATTTTTTTTCTCTTTTTCAGACTAATTATTTGTTTTTTTCTGTTTTTCGGACAAATTTCTTTTTTCTGCTTTTCTGACAAATTTAGTTTTTCTGTTTTTCAGACTAATTTTTTTTTTCTGCTTTTCAAACTCTTTTTTTTCTGTTTTTCAGATTAATTATTTGTTTTTTTCTGTTTTTCAGACTCATTTTTTTTCTGTTTTTCTGACTAATTTGTTTTTTCAGTTTATCTGACTAATTTTTTTTTCTGCTTTTCAGGCAAATTTTTTGTTTCTGTTTTTCTGACTAATTAGTTTTTTCTGTTTTTCTGACTAATTTTTTATTCTGTTTTTCAGATTAATTATTTGTTTTTTTCTGTTTTTCAGACAATTTTTTATTTTTCTGACAAATTATTTGTTTTTTTCTGTTTTTCGAACTCTGTTTTCTGTTTTTCTGACAAATTTTATTTGTTCTGTTTTTCTGACTAATTATTTTTTTTCTGTTTTTCAGACAAATTTGTTTTTTCTGTTTTTTCGGACAATTTTTTTTTCTGTTTTTCGGACAAATTTTTTTTTCTGTTTTTCAGATTAATTATTTGTTTTTTTCTGTTTTTTGGACAAATTTCTTTTTTCTGCTTTTCTGACAAATTCGTTTTTTCTGATTTTCAGACTCATTTCTTTCTGTTTTTCTGACTAATTATTTACGTGGGAGTCACTTGCAGGTTGGAGGTTCTCGTGGGAGTTCGAAGTATCTTGATAATTCAGAAAAAAAAATTTGTCTGAAAAACCGAAAAAAACAAAAAATTCAGAAAAACAGAAAAAAAAAATTCAGAAAAACAAACCAAAAAAAAATTTACTCAGAAAAGCCAGATTTTTTTTTTTCAAGTGGACGCAATACGCTTCCGTAGCCCGTCACATTCTTTTGAACAAAATATCTCAGGAACGCTCGACTCGTTCATTCGGACTCAAACGTGAACTTATTCAGATTTGGAGGTCAAAGGTCACCGTGAACTCACAAAACATGTTTATGATTTCTAGCGAATTAGAATATTGTGTTTGGTGCAGGAAACACACATGAAACCAGTTTGTAGTTTTTAATTTGGGCCAGTTAGTTTTTAACAGAGTTGATTTCCCTAAAACAATGACCTTTACCTGAGCATGAGGAGTGTGTGTGTGTGTGTGTGTGTGTGTGCATACGTCTGTAGAAAGAGCTGCGGGCGAGCAGACAGGCTGGAGAGTTGACGCTGCTCATGGCGTGTTCGACCTACAGGGTCAACATCCTGGGGGGGAAGCACAAGAAACTAAAAACCTGAAAAACCTTTTTACCAAGAAGCTTTAAACGTCCAGTTCATCACGTTTCATTCAGTTCATCACGTTTCCTCCAGTTCATCACGTTTC